GGATCTGAACTCAGGCAGATGGACAAAAGCCCTTATTTTTAGCCTCTATAGTTGATAGCTTCATTATGCAGAGAAGAAAAATGAGATTAAAAATACATTACAAACAATGGAACCCCTAACCTCAAAACTCACTGTGTCCCTCTGTGCTCTGGTTCACATCCTAACCTCTGTCAACAAGAGCTGTGACCAGGCAGTCGGTCAGGCCTGAGCCGCTAACTGAAAGACTACCATGAGATGCAATGGCCACGAGGCCAAACAAACCTCTCCTACAGCACTCCAGAGCTGGAAGGAAGCACTTCCTTGTTATGGAGAGGTTTCTACTGGTCCAGAGACCAGGTACAGTGCATGGCCCATGTGGAAGAGCAGCCACCCTGCGACCTCACACTGCCCAGACTTAAGCAGTCAGGATGGGCAGAAGGCATGCCTACCAGCTTTGGCAAACCACCAGACAATCACCAAGCCTATAATTAATCTCTCTCAAGAAGCGTACCTCATCATCTTAAAGCTGTTACCCTTTATCCTGCCTAGGCTTCATTGATCTGCTGTCTCAAATGTCCCAGACAAACATACTGGAATTACCAGTACTATCAGTGCTTCTTTAAGGAACGGCATTTTTCTAAATATTCATTTGCTTTTGTTGTTGCCTTCTTCTAGGTCTCTCTCCTCAATTATGTCTCTTCGAGGGCAATTTTTCAACTCCTTCACCATATCCCCCGGATGCCTGTAAAAGTCATTTGCTTGTAAAGTTAAAAAATACACCTTATAAGTTTTGCAATTCTGTAATGTGATATATCCCAAAGGATAAAGCTATGAAGTAAGTTACTAAATTCCACAATAATTTATTAACAAATAATAGCAAGCACTATTGAGCACATTCTACATGCCAGGCATATCATGCCTCCTGAAAGGCAGGTGCTATTATCACCTCTGTTTTACAGATGAGAAACCTGGGGCAGACATGTAGGTAACTTGCATAGGTCACACAGCCAATAAATGGCAAAGCCAGGATCTGAACTCAGGCAGATGGACAAAAGCCCTTATTTTTAGCCTCTATAGTTGATAGCTTCATTATGCAGAGAAGAAAAATGAGATTAAAAATACATTACAAACAATGGAACAAGGGAAAAGTCTCTCAGGGAAAACTGCTCTATTACTGTAATTGGACTGTTGTCTTTTATTAGAAGGACCCAAGTCCTGGAAGCACAGTCAACAGAGGGAGCCTGTTCTTGCTGGGCCAGACTCTTTATGCAGAAGGCAGAAAAGCCCAATTTTCAAAACTGTTCCTTTTTGCAATCTTCTAGTGCCTCGAAAGTGGTCTGTCGGTGTCGTAGAAATCATTCTCTTGGTGGCTACGGTATTTGGATTTGAGAGAGGAAGAGCTGGGAGAGATGGAGCTGTAAGACTGTTTGGGTTGATACCAAATCTTGCCCTATCCAAAGAGCCAAAGGGATCCAGAGGAATTCTAGGCCAAGCCTCCAATTTAGTCTGCACCAGAAGACCACCACACTGGTGATGGCAAGCAACCCACACTGGGTAGCAGAAAGACTTCCCAGCTGGCAGAGCTAGACCAGGGATGTCAGCCCAGAGCCCCTTGACTCTGCTGTTCTCCCTCCCCAATATTCTCCTCCCCTTTCTGATTGGTAGGAAGTTCTGGGATCAAGTCAGACCCCAGCAAATCTATCCAGGGCAAGACCAGGGGTCCTGCACCCTTTGATGTTAGCACACCCACACTGACCAAGCGTTTCCCATCACACATCCAGCCGGGGCAGAGCTCAGTCCTTGGCTTTAAAACCCAAACCAGTGTGCTGTCCTCTATGATGCTGGAGCAGACCCGGAGCTCAACTCTCCAGTTTTGACAACTAAGTAACTCATACTAATCTAAAGAGCTAGATCGACCCCCAAAAGTCCAAATCTTCGCCACTTTCCAACTATTCATCACATTCTGTCTCTCTTGAAATATGAACAATGTCTACCAACAAAACATTAAACAAACCTACTTACTAAAAACAAGTCTAATTGCCTTAACTTCAGGATTATGGCTCCGGACAAAACTGCTCTTATAAAGGTACTCAAAGTTCTATTATCATCTAATTATAATTCCATGCAGCTATTTACATGTGTGTGCTTGGAAGCCAAAAAAAAAAATGAAGCTTCAATTACTTTTGCACCTACCACCAAAACAAGTAGAAACAGGACAACCTTCCATGAATTTTTTTTTTAAGATGCTGGAATCCTTTTATTTGCTGTTTTTTCACAGCTCCAATCAAGGTGAGAGGAACCAGACAAAATGCAGATTTAACATAGACGGTCATCCCCAGACCTTCTTACTATATAAGGGGAAATTAATAGAAGACGGAAAAAAAAATAGTACACGGCATTTTCTTTCCCACCATAATTTTTCAATTTTCTTTAGAGAAATGCCAGCCAATAACTAATTAGAACCATATCCTTTGTTATCCCAGTGGGAAGAAGTATATGAATGGTTTTAAAGAACAAATGTTAATGAGAACTTTAAAAAGTCAGTAATCTGGAACTTTGGTTTCCTGTCAGTGTAAAACAAAATTCTTTTCTTTAAAGTTCTTTTTATTGTTGGTGAAACTACACAGACAGGGTCCACTAACAAAAAGGTGAGTTTCACCAATCCAGCACCCTGAACTGGGGCTTTCCTGGCTTTTCACTGTTCTTAGTATGGAATTGGCATCACCAGATCATAGATTTCTAAGCATCTCAATTTCTTAGAGACAAAAACTGAAAATTACAGAAGAGGAGTTTGTTCCACAGCTCTCTGGTTTCAATGGAGAAAATAATTCCTTTTAAAATGAGTACAAAGCTTGTAATTTCCAAGAGTATGTTTTCCATAAGAAACACAACTCAAGTCTTTAGACCTGGAGTATCACTACAGATAAGAATGTTTTTAGGATCAGATCTTGAGTTGTCTTTTCCTGAAGGTCCAGGAGCAAAAACAACTTCCTGGAAAACTAGACTTGTTTTACACAACAAAGTGAACAATAGGATGTGAGCAAAAAATAAAACTTTAAAAATGCTAATACACCATGGTTCGGGCATGTGCAGCACTGTGAACTGCATTTTCAAATGAGGGACTGCCTTTTGCCATTCTCTCACCTTGAGAGATGTGCTAGACTCTCATCTTGGCAGAATTAGTAGGTCCAATTTAGAACCACAGACCACTTTTTTTGTGCAAAGAGGCTGGCTAAGGCTTGGGGAAGCAGGCATGGCCTATGTCAAATCAAATACTCTTTTTTGAGAAAAAGCTTTAAGTATTTGCAACACATCTCAATTTGCTCCATATGTTTACTGTCCAGCAAATTTACTTCCCCCACTGTGAAAAACACAATAGGCGTGGTCTATAACATTTTTACCATCATTGTATATTTGCAAAAGCTAGAAATCATCTGTCCTGCCCAATAAGGACATTATTTTACACAGACGGTCTACAATAGAAACTTGCCATAACAATGAAAACATTTTTTGATAAATCACTTTCTGAACATTTTTCCTCCCCCAAAGGATCATAAAAACAACCACCGAGGAAAACAAAGGATCACATATTTTAAAGCAAAAAGGACTGGCCATTCATATTCATTCACTCTCAAGCATATAAATCAAATATGGGCAAAATCACCTCAACAGTGGTTAAAATGCCAGAGTTTTGCCTGTGTGTGGTTAGTGAGACCATGTTTTTCCAATGTTAAATTTACAAACTGTATTTGTTAAACTGTATTTCATACTTTAAATCCCAAGTCTGTACCTTACAGTGCTTCAGAATGGATGATTTACTCAAGACATTTGGGGTCACAATATAAGCCTTTTGCTCTAAATTTAAATCGTGCTTCTCAACAAGATTCCGTACACATAAAAGAAACACATGGCATGCCCTTACCATCCTCCCTAGAGAAACCTAAATTCCCCCAGAAGAACCCTTCTTCCCTCCACTCCATAAATTCAGACTCCCCTCAGAAAGGGAGGGCCGGGATGAGCAAAAGCATAGTAATTAACAGCGCTCCAAAACTTCTTGTTTCAATTCATAACATTTCCTGAATTCGTTTTATTAAAACAGACATCTCATCCAACAGATACTCAAAAACCCAAACTAATTTCGGCAGCAAACTGGGACCAATGTGAAGCTGACAGCCAAGTACACGTTTCCCCCAGTCCTGTTTCTTCCGGCTAATCTGCACCTGTGGGGTCGGTGCAGCATTTAATCTAATGCCATGACTACAGTGGCCCACCAACCAAGCAACTAAGAGCCGCACGGACGCGTCTGTTCCGGTGCCTGGGAGGCATCTGGGGAGGATGGCAGGACAGCCAGACAATGAAAAGCTCCTCGGTGGCCACCAGTTCAGCTGGGGCTACGGAGGGAGGGAGAAGGGGAGAGGAGTGAGCTGCCTCCTCCCGCAAAGCCATGGTCAGCGGCTGCCTCCCCGGGGCGCCGGGCTGCCTGACCTCGGCCTCGGCCTCCGGGCCCGGGTTACAGGGGGCGGGGCCCCAGGAGAGCAGATTCCCTGGGAAAGGAAGGAAACTTCCTGGTGTGGGCATTATGGGTAGGGGGCTAGGCCCTCCCCCACCCACTACAGGTATCCGCGGGGAGTCTAGCGGCGGCTGCGGGAAGCAGCTCCTCCCCGGGCCTCAGGCAGGGTGGGGGTGACGGAGTCAGGGTCCCCAGACGCGGCCACCCTCTAGGCGAGACTCCCAGCAAGTCGGGCCCGGGCTCGCGACTCCTCACGTCGCAAGCCGGGGTCAGGGGCCGAGAGATGTCAAACTTCCCCCGGCGGGCGAGGCCTGGCACCGGCACCGAGGAGTTGCCACCCCCAGCCCGGAGGAGTCTTGGAATGGGAGGCGGTACAGGCAGAGGAAGGGAACACTGAGGCCAAAGGAACGGGAATACGGGGGTAGGGGGGGAGAAGGTGTGGACCCCGATCCCGGGGCCGCGCGGGTTGCGCACCCAGGCCGGGGGCGCCGACGAGGCCCGCGCCGCTCACCTTCCTGTGCTTTTCCTTGTAGGGCAGCGCCAGCCACGGCATGTCCCGCACGAAGTCCTGCCACTGCCGCTGGTCCTGGTCCGAGGACACGAAGACGATCTCCAGGCGGCGCCGCGGTTCGGGCTCCGCGGCCGCCCCGGCCCCCAGCCCCGGCCCGGCCGCCGCGTCCCCCCGCAGGCGGCCGTAGAAGGCGGCCAGGCTGCCGCTGAGCTGCGCGCAGGGGGCGCTCAGGCTGCAGCCGAAGTAGAGCCCGAGCAGCGAGATGCCGCGGGAGCCCAGCGAGTGCACGTCCACCTCCTCGCCGCTGCCCGTCACCAGCTTCTCGCCGAGCAGCTCCTCCAGGAAGCCCGACATCCTGGCCCACCGCAGCCCGGGCACGCGGGCGGGCAGGCGGCGGCGACCCCGCTCCCTCTGTCCGCGCGGCGGGCGGCGGGCGGCGGCGGCAGGCGCGGGAGAGCCCCGCCCACCCGGCCGCCCTCGCCACTCCCCCTCCGGCCCGCCCTCGCCACGCCCCCTCCGTGGCCGTCCTGGGCCGCGCGGGCGGTCGGCACCCTGTCCGCGGCGGCCGAGGGCTTCCACTGCACGGCCGAAGTGCTCGGCGAACAGCCCTGCGAGGCGGCTGGCCGGAAGCGCCCGCTCAGACGGGAGTGCTCGGGGCCTACGGGAAACGAGGGCCCGCCGAGCCCGGCTTTCCGAGGCCGCAGTCCGCACTGGGTTGGACTTGCCCTCGCCCCTCCCTCCATTTCCTCTCCCCTCGGAATTACAAATTCTCTACGGACTTCTCCAGGGACTCCCCCTGTTCTCCGACCCGAGTTCTCTTCCCCTTCCTGTTCCTGACCCTCCTTCCCTCGCTCCCCCTACACAAAGCCCAGCCCTTGGCCATTTCGTGCCGCACTGACCTCTCGCCGTGCTGACAGCCTTACCATCCTCACATATTATCACTTCATCAGGCTGCGTGCGTCCTGCTCGGCACGCACTTCTCTGTGTATATGTTTTGGGTATCTTTTTGCTACTGTGAGAGGTCTCGAGGATGCCACCTCAGATTTCTTGTGTGGCTTCTGCTCTGGTGCAAGACACACGTGAGGGAATCCATAAATACTTGTGGATTGATGGTACGTCGCACTGTGGGAGTTCAGTCCCCATATCCCGTAGGCCATTTCCCACCAGCGAGTGGCTCTCTTCCATCTCCACAACTGTGTGCAACAGATGCCACAACATCTTTAAATCAATGATGGCTGCTCTCCTGAATTGGTTCCATAGCTTATATCGATTACTGATAGTTGAGAAAAATTCTAGGTTTTGTTTGTTTTGCCAGCTGGCAAGATGCTACCCTATGCTTAGAACATGGATTAAACAGGTGGTCTGTGGTAAGTCTTCCCGCCTCCTCTCACACAAACACACACATACAAAAAATCTATACCACACTCACCCTTTGTGGAGGACCTTCAGTGTGTGCCCGCCCAGCCACCAACAAGCCACTGAAAGGAGAAAGCGCCCCTCTCGCCCCGGTCCATCAACTCTTTGGAAGCTATTTCCTGGGCATCTACCGCCATCTAGTGGAAAGAATGAAAATGAAGATGAGATCAACCAGACCCCAATAACGTGAAAAAAGCTACTGGCAGTCACACACAATATTTGTTATTTGTTATTACATAGCGGCTTTACACACACACACACACACACACATACGTCCATAACATGCTTTATGAAAGTTCATTTAAGCCTCAGAATACAACTGCAAGCTTCTGACACAAACATAAATTTTCATGCCTAAAGTTCTCAGCTCTTCTCAGATAGAACAAGGCATTGTCCTGGTTTTCAGCTCAGTGAAATGTTACCACATAAACCAGTGAGAGAGGTGGAGGTAGAAGCCAAGAGTGGATGGGCAGTCTCTAAAAATTATGTCCACTTTTCTAAGTATCTACCTAACAGTGCTGTTCATTTCACAAGCAGAATCTTTGGATTGAGTTCTGCCTTTACACAGGCAAAAACCCTACCACAAAGGCAAATTCCAAGTTAATTCTTAGAATATTATGCCAAATTTGGTGCTACTGTAGGGATAGTATCATCACAAAACACCGGGAAAGCATCATTTTTTTTTAGTGAAAATACGGTAAGGCTATTATCATAACAGACAGTAAGTTACTAGAATCTTCTAAAATCCTGAAAATAAGCTAAAATGCTTTATCTCTTCATCTAAATCACGTTTGAAATACCCATGGGTGGGTCTTCATTAGACATCATTGAAAGCACGTGAAAGATAGATTCCTACACTCTGACATTTTCAGATGAACACTGGAGATGTAAAAGAATGACAAGCATTTACATCCTATGGAAGCCAGAGGAGAAAGTACTTGGCGTGGAGGTACAGGAGGACAGAATTTTGGGGATTGCAAATGTGGAGGATTGAAAATAGTGAGCTCATTATTAGAGTACTTAACTTTGGTATCCTAGGTGCAAGTCTGATATAAAGAGGAGGTTTGTTTGCATCTAACTTTTCTTATTTTACAGGAAAGCACTTTCCACTGGACTGTGTCCAAACCAGCATCTGGCACCTGGAAAGTGAGAGTTTGAACATACTGCACATGAAATATAAATAAAATTTTGAGAATTGTTGATGCAGCAGGCTTTGGTTAGAAGCCAAATATCGCAGCTGCTTTTTAAAGGGGTGTGGAGAGAGGGGATTTGCAATGGAAATGATTCCAAAATCATAATTCTAGTGGGTGTTTGTTACAAGAAGAAGCCCAAGGAGACTCATTTGGCTTCCTGTAAAGAATAGCCAACATCCTTGAGCTTGCAGAAAGCACTTTCTCTGCTTATACAGTTCAAGAGACCCACTTAAAGAGAATGTGCCTACCGGTATTCAGCTAGTTATGTTATATGAATTCACTAGCTGTTCTGAACATTATTATTGTTTTGAAATATGTTTTAAGAAGCCACAATATGCCTGACATTGTACAGAACATACACATTACAGAGTTTTCCTTTTGGAAAATTGCATTCTAAGACACATGATATCACACAAAATAGGCACAGAATATATATTTGTCACCTTTTAAGAGTCATAAATCACATTTCTTGGTCTTAGGTACAGCAACATAAAAGTACAAAGATGTATGTGTAAGGATACTTATGATACATGGTTAAAATCAGAAAAAGACTAGAAGATGGCAAGAGCCTAATGGCCTATCAATGAAGATGATTAAATTATGGCACATTCATCATTTGGAACATAATCTGGTCATTGAAAATAATTAAGATTTCTTTGTACACTGTATTAATCTGTGTCCCCCAAAGAAAGAAACAGAATCAATATATATAGTGATTTCTTATAGGGAATTGGCTCGCATGATGATGGAGGCTGAGAAGTCCCAAGATCTGCAGTCAGCCAGCTAGGGATCCAGGGGAGCCAACGGCATAGTTCTCTGCTGAATCCAGAGGCCTGGTGCAGAGCCTTCTCTTGTTCTGGGCCCACTCAAACCAGCAGCTTTTTGGGGCCACTCGGTAAATGAGCCAGAGTAACACACCCAGATGAGGAATACATCACCTCCAAACACCTGGGCACACTGTGACCCAGTCAAGTTGACACACAAAACTAACCATTACATACCCTGATATGAAATATCTCTAAGACGCACAGGAGAGGAAGTAAGGTATAGAATAGGGGAGAAATACTCAGCACCTACTTGTACATTTTAAAGTGGAAAAAAATACACACACTGAGGAATATACTGCTTATATATGGATGAAATATATCTAGAAAGGCATTTAAGAAATAGTAACAGATTGGTCAGGGAAGGGAATTGAAGGACTGGGAATATTCATGGGAAAAATAAGGAAGGTATTATTCCAGCCCAAGAAAAAAGTATTTTGAATCCTCAAATAAGAATTTATTAAAGGATAAACTATTATCAGTGGAGAAAGAAATATTAAAGTACATCAGGACATCTCAGAATGAAAGAGCAAAATGTCTCAGACACAAAAATTCAAATTCCATTAAAACAAAGCTGTTAGAATAAAATGAACATTTTGATTATAAAAGTTTTTCAAGTCCACTTAGTTTAAGGAATGATACAACAAAATTTGGATCAAATTGATTCAAGCAAAAAATTTACCCCATTTAAATGGGAGTGCCCTGTAAAAAAGTTACCTGTAGATTAGTGCTATACTCCCTGTAAATTAGTGCTATGATTTGTGATTATTGGTTATAGCAGAAGTGTGGTGCTTACCTTTCTGGCACCAACTTGAGATGTAACTTGGGGAATTCACCACTATTATTCTTTTTATTGTTCATGTCATCCCTCAGCAAAGCGGGAGTCTGGTGTCCAATTCCTGAAGCCTCCTAACTCTTTTCTAAGTCAGAAGTGCCAGGTACCAGAAAAACACTCTGTAGATTTCTGTTCACCTCCAATATTTTTCAGATGAATTCTCAGGATCACAACTTGTTATTAATGTGATCCTATTAACAGATGTTAGCCAAAGTGTATGATTCATTAACTAGTCTGAAGTAGGTCCTAACAATCCACCAGACTGCCAGACTGTTTGTCAAACAGCGTTTTGTAAGCAAAGCCAAGGCCACAGAACCAGAGATGGCAAATCTGGATTGGTGGGTATGGGTGTGTAAATAAGACCTCCTAACAGTTATGCTGTGGGAGAAATTTCAAGAACGTTAAGGCCTCCCGCCACAATCAGGATAGAGTCTAAAGATCTGTCACTAGAGATAGTACAGGACACCTTTGTTCTCACCATGGTTATCACAGGTCAAAGACAAAGACAACAAAGAAATAATAATAATAACTATTTTCCAACAATTTACACTTGACTGGACAGGGCACAAGTCAAGAAATGACATGGAATCAAAAAATCCAAACTTATCTGTTAAACACTAAAGACCACAAATTTATTAAGAATGATTCTGAGCCATCACGTCTAGATTCAAAAGAAATCTTGAAGGCAGAAACTAGGAATGGAAATGTTTGAATAAGAAGTAAACTTGGATTTCAGCTTCTGTGTCTTCCCAGGCCCAAGTTGTAAAAGCCACACATTGAATTTAGATTGTATTCCAGCACAGAGAAAATTCCGAGCAGGGTACATGACTGCATTTCTGTGCTGAAAAATCACTTTGGGGATGGTCTGGAGAACAGCAAGGCAGGAGCCATGAAGACCGATTAAATGAAAAATAACTAGAGCCCAAACTATGGCAGTGACGAGAGGTATAAAAAGGAAGGGATGGATTTGAAAGATATTTAGAAGGAATGCAGGGGATGCAGGGGGCAGAGTCTAAGACTAACTCAGTGATTGGGAGCACCTCCACCCAGGTGGGAAACTCAGGGAGACCAGGCGTGAGGAAGAAAGTGTGTTCTAAGTGAAGTCCACCCAACTCCAGAACAACATCCTGGGGGCACACATCCCCTTAGGCAAGCCCTCTAGTCTTGCGCTCAACTCTGCTC